ATGGAAACGCGACGATGTGTTGATAGGTGTTTAGATGCGGCTGAGAAACATGCGAAAATATTACAAGTTAGTTGATTCTGAGCGTTTTTATGCATCCAGAATGATTTTGGAATTAACGATGGGAAGAATTTGTAACAATTGGTCATTGTTAAAAATTTGACGAAATTTGTACGGAGAGATTGGGTGTTGTTTACATGGTTGGTTTACCTAAAGATAAGAAATGTATTTATGAAGATTAGAGAGAAAAATGAAGTGAGTTCATCAGCTGTCTTCGGTTTAGTGGTCTGTTTTGTTGTCAATATTGATAATCAAATATGAAAATCTTAGTTGTTTTTTTGTTATTTGCTTGAAACATTTAAAATTTGGCTCACTCCAATCTAACTACAATCCCAGTCGGCAATGTTCCATGTAGGGATATGAGCATATGTTTGGAAAGTTAGAATGAAATAGAATAAAATGAGACTTGAGAAGAAAACTTGAAGAGATGTTAGAACAATTTTGTTGAGAGATGTTAGAACAAATATGAGTGAATGATAAAACGCGATTGCAGTTACAAAAGAACGTGTGGCTAACAATCTGCAACGATCATCTGTTGCAAACACAAAATATTGATATGTATAGAACTTGCGCAGTTGCCCTGGAAGCGATGGTCAATACCAGGGATCCATCAGTGTCGAGGTATTGTTTTCGGGGATTGAAGTGCTTGAGTTTGTTGATTTTGAGTTTGATCATAGAAGCGTTCAGTAAGATGACGGGCAATCTTTAGAAATGTTTTTATTTTATTTTTTAAATTTAATTTTCAGAATGACGATCGCTATAGTCTCAATTTTGGCACCAAAGATCCCGACCACTCAGAGTCATGCGTTAGCAACGAATCATCGTTATGTGCGTTATCTGATCGATGTGATTCGTGAGAATATTCCTGCATCGGATGCGCCGAATGATAATTTCAATGATTTTACGATCAAATTCACTCTATCCGCATTATGGAACTTAACAGGTTTTTCGAAACATCTTTGGCTTTGTTTTTGAATTTTGTGATAGTAAAAAGCTGATTTGAAGATGATAGAAGCGTGAAGGTTCATTCTTTTTACATTGCAGATGAATCTCCAGAAACTTGTCAACTGTTCGTTGATCTAGGCGGTTTGGATGCCGCACTAGAAACGTTGGATCGTTTCACGTCGAGCGCAAATATTCAGACAAAAGTTCTTGGATTATTGGTTAGTAGTTAGTTACCTTTTTGTTTTTCTGAAAATGTTTTTGGATTCATTTCTTTAATTGTAATGTTGGATCCAAAATGTCATTTCGTTGTGAATATGTGAATGTTTTGAATTACTATTGTTATGGTATCTTGCAAATGATTTTTTATTTGTTGTTTCAGAATAATGTTGCAGAGGTGAAATATTTACAAGAATATATGTTACANCGAAATGTATTGAATCTGTTTTGTAAGTTTACTCTCATTGTCAGTTCGCGTTTCTGAGCGATGGTTTTTCATACTTTTTTCATTTTTAAGGACTTTTCACTGGAACTTTTGAAATTTTTTACTGTCGACAGCAGAGCATGAAAAGGTTGAAACTTTGGAAAGACTTCGTCGTTTTCGATGGAATTTGCATTTTATGCTTTATCGATGAGAGTGGTCAGTTGTAGTTGATGATAGTTTTGTTTAGACGACTGCTGGACAGTGATCTGAAAACAGATGGCATTCGACATCAGGAGGCGAATCGCCGCATTGATGTGTCGTATTTTGCTGCAGGTATTTTAGCGAATTTACTCCTCTCAAGACCGTGGAATTTTGAGCCTTCATCAACCACCTGTAATGAAGCACTTGTAAGTTTTTTCGTTCAGTTTTTGTTGTTTATTTCTTTTTCATATTATGTGAATTATGTTCTGAAATTTAATTGAATGCGTTTGTTTGTGGTGATTGAAATGTTGGTGATATGAAATTGGTTGAATGAGAGATCGATTTTGATGGTTTGTTTCTAACGTTATGAAAATTTCAGATAGCTGCGGTTAGGCGATGGCCAAATCCAATTTTGACAATGGTGGCGTATCGGTAAGTTGTGAATTGTTAATTCATTCTGTCTTCAGCCGTAATTTGAAGTTGGATTGATGAGTAACATAATATGTATGGTATTTATAAGTATCTGTTTATTCGGTGCATGTTTTTTTGCGGTTTTGGATTAGTGTTTAAAATGTTCCTGAAAGTATATTGAGTTGAAAATCTTTTTGGGTTATTCGGAAGCATTGATTCTCATTGGTCGATTTCAGGTCATTCTCGCCATTTTTCGCCCTGTTGGAACGAGACGATCTAGCCGGTGCTCAGATGTGGGCCGCATGGGCCATCCAACATGTGTGCAGTAATGATCGAAATAATGGCTACATTCAAATGTTGATTGCACAAGGCGGACGGGATGTGGTGAAACGACTGTGTGGCTCAAAAGAGGCGCATCCGGATGTAATTCAGTTAGCGAACTCAATTCTGGAGATGATCGAAAATGGTGGTAGTAGTGTTATTTCGGGGGATGGTTCGTGTACGGCATCAGCAAATGATTTCAACCCAACGTCGACATTGGTTGCCTAGGCTCAGATGTATGCGCATAGATTCTTTTGTGTTTGTTTGATTGTTTTTTGTTGTTTTTTTGATTGTTTCGATGAGATTACCGTTATTTTGAATCGAATTTGTTGCGAGGTTTGGAATTTGGATTTTTTGTGGCTTTGATCACAACAACAATGCTCATTTCATGGTGTATCCAGATTTGTTATTGTAAGGAGTGGCTGAAGTTTTTTTTCCATCGCAATACTGAGTGGTTAGCGAATTCGCTATGGAATCCGCTTTCTGAATGTTTGCTTGATTTTGAGGAGAAATCATTGTATTATATAAAAATTGCGGTGGAACTTTTGAAAAAATTTTTGTTTCCTATCCCAGAAAGTATATATTTGATACTTTGACTAACTGATTGCCGCGTGAACGGTCATCATTCGGTCGATCGATGGTGATTTGTATAATTGTTTTTGATTTGGTATATCATCTCGAATATTTTTTTATGTTGTGATGTAATCAGTGTACTAAAAACAATATGGTATCGTGTGTGGAATTGTGTGCTATATAGTTGAATATTATGTTTGATGCCATTTGAGATGTATTCAATGAAGTTGAAATGCTATTATACTTTAATGAAATATAATTAAGTAAAATGTAATATTATCTATAATATAATTTACATTGTGAGCGCGCAAACTGAGTGTATTTCATCCTTTTACGAATGATATTAATGAAATATTGTGGTGATGATAACATTTTAAGTGATATTATCATCGCTGTCATTTTATTATCAGATCATAATTTTATTCGTCTTATATACGTACTTGCAAAAATGAATGCGAATAATAATACTCTTGTATATTTCTGTGTATATGAAACAATTTTTTGTACTTTGTTTCGTTTTTTTCGCGTGTTTTTGTGTATTGTTTTGTGTGCATTGATGGCGCATATCGGGTTTGATTCTTCTACTACTCTAATATATGTCATTGAGATGGTGTTGATAAAATGTTTAACTTTGCGATAAGTTTGAGGGTTTTCTATCAAAAAAGCTCTGGAATAGATGTAGAATTGGATTAGTTTAACGGGAAAAGTCTCCAAAATAGACGGCGATTTGAAGGAATTCAGTTGAGAAACGGGGTTTGAAGAATCTGAATGACTTTGTTTTTGTTTTGTTCTGACAGAATAACTAGAAATCCATTTTAGAATGATTTGAAAAGGATTTGGAACAAAATAAATACAGTGACAACTGACTGCAGTGTATCATGAAGCATTTGTGAAATTTTATGGGGAAGGATTACCTGTGATATTAGAGTTGGAAATTGGAAAACTGTTTATTGATGGATTTTTTTCTGGGGGGGGGGGGGGGGTATCGTAAATCTCATGGAATAGTTGATGGATGATAATGGTTGTATGTCAGTAGTTGTGGTGTTGGGGAAATATTAGGGTAGTGTCATTTTAATGCGATGTATTTCTAT